CACATCCTTCTGGAAGGTTATTGATGAGACAAACACATTGTCATGAATAGTTAGGAGAGGCTGAGAATCAGGCCTGCCACGGGACATCAGGATTTTTGTCCGTGAGAGGTAGAAGAAGATGTCACCAGTGTGAGTTGAGAATACACTGCTATGGCTAAATTGCAAAATTCCTATGTTGAAGTTCTATCCCCATGCCCACCCTCCAGTATATCAGGCTGTAACTATATTTAGAGGTAAGGTCTTTTAAAGAAGCCATTAAGTTAAAATGATATCTTTAGGTTGAACCCTAATCCAATATGGTCTGCATGCTCCGCAGAAAGAGGATATTAGGACACAGTGAGAAAGAATACCACGTGAAGACGCAGAGACAAGACAGCCATCTACAGGCCTCAGAGTGAGGCCTTGGGAGAAACAAACACTGCTGGCACCTGGATCTCAGACTTATAGCCTTGGCTGTGAGAAAATACTGGGTGGCTAAGTTGCCCAGTCTGTGGTACCCTGCTATGACAGCAAGCCAATACACACAGTGTCTGCTGAGTGCTTGGCATATCCAGTTGCATTGATGCTCACTGCATCCTTCATCTTCTGCAGTTAATGGATGAGGAAACAGAAAGAGCAGTCACTAGCTCGAGGTCTTACCTGACAGCAAGTGAAAGAACCAGAAATTGCACTGAGGTCAGCCTGAATCTGATGCCTGCCACACACCCTGCCAACCCACATGAGACTGAGGTGTGAGAAATGGCAGTCCTGGATTTTGCAAGTCCCTTCAACATAAACAGCCTATGATTTGGTACATCTCAGAGGCTCAGATATAGTTTGAGCAAACTCTGGTGTCTGTCATGCTGCTGAAAGAGTGCCCCCCCACCTTGCTGAGGATTCTTGAGGGAGTGCAGGTGTTCCTACAAATCTTTGAGATCTGTTAGGGAAGGTGCTGATGTGTCTTCAGGAAGATTCAGAGCCTGCACCTGCACATCGCTGGCTCTCTGTGGCTTTCAGAGCACTGTCAAAATTGCCTAGCCCAGCATTCTGGGTCTCTCCTGATTCACCCCTGCCCAATCCTCACCAGCCCAATCTCTGGCCACATACTCGCTGAATCCAAACTCTGTGGAACTTGCTGGAAGTTTCCTGTACACACTGCACTCTTTTCTGCCTCCATGTCTCTGGTTATGCTGTTCCTTCTGCCTGAAGTGTCCTTCCCATCTCTGACCACGTGGTGACCCACCCTACTCATCTTCCAAGTATCACACATCATTAGCTGCTATCTGAACCCTGGAGGCAAAAAGACATTAAGATCCTCAAACCAGTCAGAGGAAGGATCATCTGCCAGCCATGGAGCCAGGGACAGAATTCGAAATCGAAATCTGCCCAGAACCCCCCGGAAACGCTTCAAGGCTCCCCCTCATTTTCATCTTTCCTTGCCTTCCGCCTCCTCTGCATAGAACACACAAACATACTTCTTAGAATTACAGGCCTGCAGATCTCTGGCCCCACACCCCTCATGGTACAACTGAGGACAGAGAGGCACAGAGAGAAAGTACTTGGCCAACTGCATACCTTCTAGTCTGGACAGCAGCATTCATTTTCAAAATCTGCTGAAGCTAAAAGTAAAAACAAACAAAAAGCTATCTTGAGGAGGAATGAGGAAATGAGGCAATTAGATAGAAATTCAGGCACCTCACTATTAAGAAAAAAATGTCTTGCAGGATCTATACAGACAAGCAAAGCTAAAGAGATATTTTATCAAAGCAATTTTCATGGCAACCCTGAGCTGCCCTGGTGGATGTGCTTTCCATGCCATTAGTCTTCCAACTACTTCTGTTTTATAGCCCTTTTTAATAGCTCTCTCTCTCTCTCTCTCTCTCTCTCTCTCTCTCTCTCTCTCAAAGATTTAGTTATTTATGCATACAAGAACTGGGGTATAGGCCAAAGACAGAGTGGGAACAGAACAGGCAGATTGACTGAAATACACTGCTGAGGGGAGCAGTGGGTGAGACAGGAGAGGTCTGCTGCACCATATGGGTCAGCTCCTTGGCCAGGGATCAAACTCATACTGCAGTGGTTACAGATAGCTTCATAGTGCTGAGACTTAACCCCTGTGCCACCAGAGAGGCCTTTTAATAGCGCTTTTTTTTTTTTTTTGTAAGAGAAGAAACTGAGGCTCAGAGAGGTGACCTGCAAGGTTACATTAGAAGGAATTATTTCACCGAGATTCTCTGTAGTATACTGATCCCTGTGCTGCAATACTAGCAGGGGTGGGGGTCAGGGTTCAAAGAAGGGAAAGCCAGAAGGGAGGTCTATCTAGGATCCTCACTTCCGAGCTCATGATGCTTCTGTCCAGCCACCCACGAGTGTTTGATACACGCAGCACAGCAGCTTGGGAGCATCAGCTCAAGGAAGGCAAGAACCTGGCTGGTCTGGTTGCTACTGAATCCCTACACCACTGCCTGGCAGAACAAGGAGAAGCTAAGCGAAGTTTGAATGATGAACTAACCCACGCGTGGTGCAAATGCATGAATGGATGTCCCAGTTAACTGTGTGGTGGGTGCATATTGAGGATATTTTTTAGGATATTTTTACTTCTCTAATTGGAACCAAGCTGATGCATGGTATGTGTGTCCCACTGTAATCAACATATAAGGCCCCAATTAAAGAAGGTGTTCCAGACTTCGGAGTGATCAGATTACAACACAGCATGCTGGATAAGGTCACTTCCACTGTTCTGCCTCTTTACAGCTCACAAAAGGGGTCCCTGCAATTTTATTAATGAAATTATTATAGTTTGTTATTTCCCCAAAGATGTGTGAGAGAAGTCAGCATCTGTCCTACCTGTCTTAATACAGGTACAATGCAACTGTGAAGTAGATTAACAGGTGGGTGGTAAATAGAAGCAGCTTTGGGAAAACCACCTCATAGTCCTGACACTCAGTTTCCCCATCTATAAATTGGGGTCATAATTGTTTCATAGCACTGTTGCAAAGATTAAAAGCAAGGATGGCTTCAAAGTGCCTAGCCCTCTGTAAGCCTTCACTAAAGTTTTCTTTTAGTTATTAATGAGAGAGCCTGGGACAGGTACCACTGGCTTCTGGTAGGGACTATGGGCAACACAGCCACCTCCTCTGGCCCTAAATTGTCCTATCTGTCACACAAGGATAGGAGAGGGAGCTAAGGATTTGTTTAACAAATAAACTGAGTGCCTACTATGTGCTTACCCTGAGTATTGGCACAGAGAGCTAGAGGAGTTATGGCTCTATTCTTGAGGGGTCCCATGTGGTAAGAACAAGCATTGTGGGAGCCATGACATATACCAGGAGGGTGATAAGCTCTTTGCATGCATGAACACAATCAACATTCATAGTTACACTGATGACAATGCCATTGCCCCCATTTTATAAGAAAGGGCACCCAGGCAAAGAAGTTCTCCCTGACTTGCCCAAGGTCACATGGGCAGCCTGTACCAGAGATGGGATTTGAACTTGGAGACCAACTTTATATTCCAATGCCCTTCCAGCACAAACATCACCTGATTCTCAATGACCATGACCTAGATTCTTTGAAGAGTAGACTCCAGCAGAACAAAGATGTGTATCTCTCTCTTTCCCTAACGTTTTTGTGTTTCTCTTTTTCTTATCTCTCTAGCTCCCTGCATTTCCATCAATAGTGTCTGCATTATCTATTAGTTATACAATGAGCACTTCCATTTTCTCTGCTGATACTGTTCCCACTGACAATACAGGAAAGAGACAGGCTGTGGTCCTGGAGCAGAAGTGACAATCCTGGTTGCTAACCTCCTTTCTCTAGGGATCCCAGAGCTGAGAAAGATTCCCCACGACAACCTGGTAGCTAAGAATATCCAGGCTGAGTCCCTGGGTTGCCCAAGCCTTTCCATCGCCATCTCTCTTGATAACATCTTCTTTATCCAAACCCTGCTCATTCTCCCCATCACAAAATGCCAGCTTACCAGCCAGCAATCAGTAGTATATTGCTTGTTTTTTTTTTAACTTCTGACATTCCCAATACAACTCTAGAGAAAATGTGGCCTTCATTTCATTCCCACCTGGGAACTTTTAGCATCTTTGAATCAAACATGGAGGAGACTGTTCATCACTGTGGTTGAGTAAGAACTCTGGAGCCAGGCTCCTGGGTTCAAATCCCAAATCTTTCATGAATTACTTCTGTACCCTGGGGGAATAGTTATGTCCCTGCATCTCAGTTTCCTCTCTGCTTTCCCAGGATGATGGTGATGGCGGTGATAGAGATGGTGGTGGTATCTCTCTTTACAGAGTCATTGGGAGAATTTAGTATCTAAGTGTTTGAAACAGTATCTGACACTGAATAAATATGAGCTAAATAAACTAAATAAACATATTTTTATATGTCCCATGGAAAAGGCATCTCCATTTAAATTAATCTCTATTGCTTTCTAAGAGAAACTCCAAATGACTATGAGATAGTAGAAGGCTTTTTAAGATTGCCCTAAAAAAGAGGAGAAAAAATAACAACTTTATGGTGCTCTATGAGTTACAGCATGCTTTCACTTACCATGCAGAACATGGTATTTGCAGCCACCCTCTGGGGAGATAGGAAAGACTTAGAACCCCGTTTTAAAGATGACAGGGAACCATTTGTGGTAGACCACCCAACTCTTGAAGGGAAGATGTGAGGCTGAATAATGATTTTCTGCCTGATATTCAGAGTGCAACTCAATACGTTTGTACCTTTTGGTTGAAACAAACAATGAAGAAAAGCCCAATTTGATAGAAAACCCATGTGAGTTAATACAATTCACCCTTCTTCCCTCCAGCCTTTCAACTACTCCAGTGAATTCAAATCTCCAGGAACAGCCATAGGGGAAGGGCATGGTTTCATCAGAGTTGGGGAGTAATACGAACTGTGAAAAGTGGCTTTAGTGAGGAAAGCAAAGGCAAGCCTGCAGCAGACACAGGAGAATAATATTTTCCCTCTGAAGAGGGCAGTGTGTAACCGAAGCCAGGTCTACTCACGTTCTCAGGGTTTTCTTCCAGGTCTAGGAGGCTGTAGGCAGTGCAGCCCGTGGGAGCTCAGGCATCTTGGGTTTCCAAGAGCTTATTTCTGAATGACAAACACATCTTCAGACATGAAATAAGATTCTGGAGGTTTGAGCAGTTACACACTTCCTCTCCTCCAAGGGGGCACGGTGCAAACTGATCCGGAGCTGGTTATGCAAGATGGATGGAAGAAACCCCAACAAGTTCTTTTTCCAGGAGCTTGCACTTGTCTATTCTCCCACATCAGCTTGATGAAATTAAACAACACAGCACCCCAGATGGTCTGTGATGCTTGCAGAAGAAAGTGATTCTTTTTCCACGAAGATGTGCGTGCAACGTAGTTTCGGCTGCCAAGGCAAAGCACCTTTTCACAAACATCCTTTGCACAAAAATAAAATGTTGGGAATGAGGATCTTAGCTCCTGAGAAGCATTTATCAAGCCAATCACAGTAATTATAATTAGAACACAAACTAAGTGAAAGCTAAGCATGAAATACATTTGCAGAAAACTTGTACTGCATATAATTAAGCCCTGCTTGATGGCATTTTGAGGTATGCCATTAATATATTTTGGGGGTGGAGGAGATTGATTTTTTTCCCTGAAATATCTTTAGCTAGTTGCATCAAAGATTCCAGTTAAGATAACAGTTAAGAAGGAGGAAGAAGGATACACTTTATTAACTATTAAACTTAGAGCTGTAAGAAAGATATCCAAAAGTAGCTTAACTGGCTATTTTAAACACCCTTTGAAATACATTCTTTGGGCATTAATTTAACCTAGGTCTCTTTTAGGTTAGCGATGAAAAGAAAATTGAAGATTTGGGGAGAAAATATAGCTTCAATTCCTAACCTCAGTTTTAGGAATGCATAAGCTAACAGTATTGGTTCCCTGGATCTGAAAAAGAAAAGATCATTCTCCTTAGGGAGAGTCACTCTTTGATGGATAAAGTTCTTTCCATTTTCTCCTTCCATAAACTTAGGCTTTCTCAATCATTACCCCACTAAACACATTGGTGGTTTAAACTCTTTGTTTACACAGACTTTTTCCCCTGCTAAATAGTCACCTCCTTGAAGTCAGAGATTTCCTGTTTTGAACCAGGGTCTCCATCACCCAGCATATGACCCAGAACAGAATAGGTGCTAGAAAATATTGACTAGGAAGTGACCAAATAAGTAAATGAATAAAAGCACGCTCTATCTTTCTGGATCCAGATCAAATATATCTATACCTTCTGGTGACACCCCATTTCTCCCTCCCCAGATAGAAGTCAGATAGATGATTCTGGAATGGTGATTCCAGAATATTTTGAGGGAAAAGATAACTTTTTATAGTAGAATGGTTTAGGAGAGGCATTTTGGGTCAGAAGGGATGTTTGTGAAGTTTGTTTTTGTGATGTTTGTATGTTTGTGGTTATCATTGTGTTCCTTTGGAAGTCACCCTTGAACAAAAGTGCAGCGACTGATTTAGATTGTACTTGGGGAAGTGGCGGGTAAAGGGTGAGATGAAAGACTCCAAGTCACAGGCTGGAGTATGTTCCAGAACATTTTGTCCTGGGATGGGAAAGCATTGAGCACATTTTCCCCAGTTGATTGCACACACACACACACACACACACGTTTATATGATAATTGAAGACCCACAAGCAGTTGTAAGGAATAATACACATACATTCCAACATCAGTTTCCCCAGATGTTGACCCGATCACGACCAGAACCTTGACGTTGATACAATTCAACCACCAGTTCCATGTGCACTTATTGGTGTGTGTGCATTTTCCTGCCTACTGGAGAGCAGGCAGGGGTCTGTTTGACCTAACCTTGAAAAGGTATTAGCTCCTGAAAGCAGCAATACATGCTAATATATATTACTTGCCCAACAACCGTCCTCATAAACACTTAAACTTGTATGTCTCTGAGTGCAAGTGGGGAGGGCAACGTTTCATGGCAGGAAAACCGAGCCTTAAAAGCGTTCAGTATTTCACAGACAAAAAGTTGGCTAGTGTCCCCCATAACTGTGAATTAGCTAGTTGGGTAACTGCTCTACAGTGATCTTGATGCACCTGCTAAGATCGCTCAGTTTTCGAGGCACCCACCACCTGACCCCCCTAGAGAAGCCAGGTGGGCTCTCCCTGACCCCGGGGCGCCTCCTAACCCTACCTTCGCTTTCACCCCTTTCTTTGCCCGGGCTGGACTGTTTCACCCCGTCTCCAGGCAACCGACAGGCGCGAGGCGGGACGTCATTTCCTGAAGAGCCCGCAGGGGGAGGGGGCGGGAGAGGGGGAGGTGCGAGGGGGCGGGGCCAAGGCTGGGCTGGCGACGGCGAAGGCGTCGGAACTCGCTGGAAGACTCGGCCCGGGGCTGCTCAACAGTTCGCAAAGTACGGGCTTGCGGCCGCGCGGCTCCGTCTGCGCCCGGGTGGCGCAGGGGCGCCGGGGTCCCCGGGCTGCTGCATCCCGGGGCTGCCCCGGACATGCCCCGCACCCCCTGGCGGACGCCCGCGCGGCTCCACCGGGTGCGATTCGGGGGGCTCTGACCAGAGCGACCCTCACCCCAACTTATGACTTTGGGGTCCCCCAGCCCGAGAGGAACGGGCGACCCGGTTGGGGGGAGCCCTGGGAATGGTATGACGGGGCGGTCGGCTTTGCTCGCCCCCCACTCCAGTCGCTCGCCGTCTCGGTGCCCTCCAGAATGTAGCGGCTCCCTGCGCGTCCCCCCGGCCTCCGGCTGCCGTCTCCGCGACCTCCGGGCTCCCGCCGCCAACTCCTCGTCCCCGGGGACCCCGCCGCCGCCTCCCGCTTGCCGGGACTCCAGCCGCCGTCTCTGTGTCCTCTGGACTCCAGCCGCCGTCTCTGCGCCCCGCGGACTCCAGTTGCGCGACCCCCTCAGCCTCGCGCGCTGGGTACTCCAGCAGCGGTCTCCGTGGCCCCCCTAGGATTTACCCCCTGTGTCTGCGCCCCCCAAACCCCGACTCCAGCCGCCGCCGTCTTCACGCCTCCCGGGATCCAGCCCGAGCCGCTGCGCCTCCTCCTTCCCCCACGCGCCCCATCCAGACTCCGGCCACGATCTGCGCGCCCCGCGCGATCCAGCTGTCGCGCCAGGGCCAGCGAGCGCAGCTGTCGCCCCTCCGCGAGCCCCCGATCCGCCCGAGCCTCGGCGGGGAGATGAACGCGCAGCTGGACGGCCTGTCGGTGAGCTCGTCCTGCACCGGCTCGCTGGGCTCCGCGGCCGGGGCGGGCGGCGGCGGGGGCGCGGGGCTGCGGCTGCTGTCTGCCAACGTGCGCCAGCTGCACCAGGCGCTGACGGCGCTGCTGAGCGAGGCGGAGCGGGAGCAGTTCACGCACTGCCTGAACGCGTACCACGCGCGCCGCAACGTCTTCGACCTGGTGCGCACTCTGCGAGTCCTGCTGGACAGCCCGGTCAAGCGGCGCCTGCTGCCCATGCTGCGGCTGGTCATCCCGCGCTCCGACCAGCTGCTCTTCGACCAATACACGGCCGAGGGCCTCTACCTGCCCGCCGGTACCCCCTACAGGCAGCCCTCTTGGGGCGGCCCCGACGGCGCGGGGCCAGGGGAGGTGCGCCTGGTGAGCCTGCGGCGCGCCAAGGCCCACGAGGGCTTGGGCTTCAGCATCCGCGGGGGCGCGGAGCATGGCGTGGGGATCTATGTGTCGCTGGTGGAGCCGGGCTCTCTGGCTGAGAAGGAAGGGCTGCGAGTTGGGGACCAGATTCTGCGTGTCAACGACAAATCCCTGGCCCGAGTGACCCACGCTGAGGCGGTCAAGGTAGGGCTCTGGTTTGGGGAGTTGTATGGGGCAGAGTGACACAGCTCCTCACAGTGGTGTTACATGCGTGCTGTGCGTCCTTAGGAAAATCACTCGGCCTTTCTGGGCCCCATTTTTCATGAAAGTGTTTCTTTCATGAAAAAAGGAACATCTAGTTTCTTGAGCAAATAAATGCCACCCACCGGGGATATAGTCATGGGCAAAACAGAGCAGGATTCTGCCTTAGTGAGGAATGTAAAATAGGAGAGACAGAATTATCGGATTCTGTATTTGCAGATGTATGGTTACAAAAAAAAAAGTGTGAAAAGAGCTGTGGATTCCTCTGAGCATTGAAAGAGAGGTCTCCCCTTGGCATGTGGTTAGTAACCAGTGGGTGGCTTTTGCATCTACTGATGTTATTCTCATTATTCTATAGTCTTTTGCCCCTGAAACAAAGTTTTAATTCCGAAGTGGGGGGAGGAGGCTGTTCTGGTGTTCCCCAGAACCCTGGCCTGCCCCTGCTGTTTTGAACCAGTCTGTGTATCTTGGGGCAAGTCACTTGACTTCTCAGAACCTTTGGTTCTTCACTTGGAAAATGGGGCAACTGGACCAGATAAGTGTCCCTAACCTTGTTGGAAATATGTCCCCTACCCCTTGAGAATAGTTGTTACTTATAGTGTCTGTTAATTGACAAAAGAACTCATGGCACAAGTCCTAGGGATTTAACCTTGCTGTTTTGAGGAATGTGCCTGTTTGCTCATCTCACGCCCAGGACTGTTGAAAACCAGTTGCATTATGAGATGGCTAGCATTTGCTCTAGTGTGGATTGAAGGATTCACCTCCTCCCACTCCCACTTTGTGTGCAAAAGTTGAAGAGGTTGAGGGGGAAAAATCAATGACACCCTCTGCTTCTGCAGGGAAAATGCTTCCCAAGGCTTTGGGCCCCCCATGAACCTGCTTTCCTCCTCTGTGCTGCACCTGCTTCATTCTCTGTGCAGGTGTTTTGAACTCCAGCCCAGGGCCTGTGGCTCCTGGGAAACTTTTAGGCTGCGGAGGCCGCGGCTATTTCATGTGTGCTGTTTAGTGACCAATGGCCAGGTGTGTCTTGAGCCCACCCCCTTACTATTTACCTGGAACTGGATGACCTCCTCTCAGATCTTGTCTTCCCTCATTCACTCCCCAACCTATCTGTTTCTCAGGGAGGCCCCTGAGGAGTATGGAAACTTACTTGCTGCTTTTGGGAAAAGGCTGATGGGTTTATATTGTTGAAATGGGGAGAGGGGCCACAGAGTCAAAAGCTGATTTCTTGTCTTCCTCCCAACATCAATCTTTTCCCTTTATCGGACATGCCTGGTAATTATAAAGAAATAGTCCATTAGCCTTTGGCCCACAAAGGTCTAGAGTTCCCAGATGATAAATTTATACTCTAAAAATACTTGATCCAAATGATCATTTATAAGCGTGGATTCCATTTTAGCGGCTATCTGGAAAGACTCCGGTAACTTAATCATCACAGGATGATAGACTTTGCAAAGGCCTCAGGTAACCTGCACATTAAAAACACCGACTTTCCCTTCACTTCACATTCCAGACTCAGTCACACCACAGGCTGGAGCTGCCTGGCTGAGTTTCAGATCAGTTCTCCCCCATCTAGTCCATTCATCATGCCCTGGATCTTCTGTCTGAATGACCCCGAACTACACTGAGGAGCTGGTACCTGGGGACACAGCAACCCCAGGCCTTGGCTCCTTTAATACTCATGTTGCTTACAGCGTAAAACCCAGCTCATCCTGGCACAGTTCTGAAAGCCTCAGAACTAATCATTGCAGGCAAGGGAGAGCTTGATGGGAGCAGAGCTGTCCTGGGACGCTTGGGAGCCTGTGTGCCCAGCAGCCCCCTTCCAAAGGCTTGTTTTTCTTCCAGGGGCATCTGCTAAGGCAGAAGGAACTGCCCTTCGGCAATGCCAGATGCAGAGCCTGCCCGAGACACATGCCTTTGGATCCTTCGGAAACAAAACTGGCAGAACAAGTGCAGCTGTGTGTCACCTTCACTCCTGGGGGGAGGAGGTGGGCTTTCCAAGGCTGGAATTTAAAATGGAGAAGGCAGAGCCTAGTCTCTGTGGCCTGGGCAGCCCCCTTCCTACTCCTCCATCCCAAGCACATGGCAGGAAGTTTCAGGGACTATTTAAAAGCACACCTGGGACCTCCCTGGTGGCCTAGGGGTTAAGTCTCAGTGCTATCGCCTCAACGGCCTGAGTTCGATCAGGCCAGAGAGCTAACCCACATATGGCACGGCAGACCTCTCCCGTCTCTGCCCTCTGCTCCCCTCAGCAGTGTGTTTCATAAATCTGCCAGCTTTGCTCCCCATGTGGTCCCTGGTGAATCCTCTCACTCCCTGCAACTCTGGCCTACACCCCAGGTCTTCTTTGCCAAAATAAATAAATAAAATCTTTAAAAAAAATAAAAGCACACCTGGAGAGCTGTTGACACACTTCCATAAAATTAGGGTGTTAGTCCCTTCTTTGAAGGCAAGAAGAGGCCCTGGCATCTCTACTAGGTACAAACAGTCCCCAGTTGGGATTTCTCCTGCCCAGATGTCTTTATAAGCTATAGTGCTCCAGGGCACTGTGTTGGGGATTTTATGGGAAAGGTATGTTCCCATTAAGTGAACTTTAGACTGTATTCACATCGCACCAGTTCCTCTATTTATGTCCCTTTTCTCTTCTGGGATGCTACAGTGCATTTAGTAGAGATGTGTTTTCTTTTCAATTTTATGTTGTTTACTTATTTATCTTCTCCTAGCTTTATTGCTGTGTGACTGACAAAATTGGGTATGCTTAAAGTGTACAATATGGTGATTTGATACATCTATACATTGTAAAATGATTATCACAATCAAGCTGCTTAGCATATTCGTCACCCTAGGGGTGTGTGTGTGTGTGTGTGTGTGTGTGTGTGTGTGTGTGTTAAAAACACTTACCTCTAGGTAAATTTCAAGTATGTGATACAGTATTAACTATATTCTCCAGGCTGAACCTTAGATCTCCAGAATTTACCATCTTATAACTGGAAGTTTGTGCCCTTTGACTGACAGACTCTCATTTCCCCACATCCTAGACCCTAGTAACCACCAGACTATTTTCTGTTTCTGTGAGTTTGGCTTTTTAGATTCCACAGATAAGTGAGATTATAGTGTATTTATCTTTCTGTCTCTGACTTATTTCCCTTACTATAATGTCCTTCAGGTTCATCCTTATTGTCCTTCATTTTTATGATTGAGTAATATTCCATTGTGTGTATGTGTGTGTGTATGTGTGTATGCCATATCTTTCTCCATTTATCCAGTAAATGGCACATAGATTGTTTCCAGGTCTTGCCTCTTGAGAAGATGTGTTTACACTCTTAAAATCTTTTTATTTACTTCACAGGAGGAAGGAATGGGGGGACCCTCTGAACTTCCCAAAGGAGAGTGTAATTGTTTATGTGCTTGTGAGTGTGAGTCTACATGCCTGTGTGTATGAGTGTATAATAAAAAGAAAGTGAAAGTTTAAGAATTAAGTTATTTAAGAGTTTATGAATCAGAGAGGGTCACCTCCTCCCAGTAAACAGCTTTTAAAAGAGATGATCAAACATGGAAAAAATTTTTTCATTCTCTCTCTGACAAATCAAGCATCCCTTGTTACCGAGGGCAGTTCAGCAAGGATTTTTTCCTCTGCCCGGTGGGGCTCCCATCCTTCTCTTGAAGCCTGTTTACAAAATCAGCAGTGACAGGTCCAGATAGAGCAAGCCATTTACTATTTGCAATTATGTTGAAACGTTTGAGTTTTGAAAAATCTGTCTTGAATGAGCAGGAGCCAAACTAATCATAATAAAAAAAGTAGCCCTTTGAAAGATTTTCAGCCAAAAATGCTCTGATAAATTAGCCACTTGGGATACTGCATTGGGCTCTGCCACACACTTGCTGTGTGACCTTCAGCCAGTCACTGACCCACTCCGTGTCCTATGATGGGTGGGCCAGGGCCTGCCCAAGGTCCCTTCCAGCTCAGACAGTCTGAGCTGGAATTTGCTACACAGATGGCATTTAGAATGTTTAATACGATGTTTTCTTGTTCTTTTGGAATTGCTTTCATTTAAGGTTGAGTAAAGAAAGTTGGCTAAGGACTGGAGACAGGAGTCTTGGCACTCTTCCTACTAAATCAGGAAATTGATGGGTTACACACTGTACCAACAAGAACTCGACTATTATCCCTCGACTCAAGAACACCAACCCTGGTGCTTTTCCAGAGTAAATGAGCAAAGGACAATAGGATTGAGGCACGCACGGCTTCACCAGGGGAACACTCAAAATCAAATTCATTTACCCGCTTGCTTTCTGCCGTCTTGATTCTGCAGGTAGATTAATGCAGGGCATCCAGGTACTGCTGGGATGCGTGTAGGTATGTGTGTGTTTCATCTCGATAAAAGTTAAACAGCTTCATTACAGTCTCAGCATCCCCACAGGTGCATCTAAGGAGCAGATGAGAATTTGAAATGTTCCAGAAGTTAAGAACAGTGGCCAGCCCTTTCATCTAATTAGCATCAGCATTCCCCCCCCTTTCTCTGCATCATAACCCCTGGAAGAATCTGGCCATGTTAATATATGTCATTGTATTTGGTCCATGTTAATATATGTCATTGTAGTTGGTCCGGCAACTTTGAAATGACACACATTTGTCATTTTCCCGAGGTTAGCTGAAACCATCACAGATTGTCACCATTTCAATCCTCATATCTGAACTGCACCTTCTCCCAACTTGGTGTCTCACCCCTGTATTCCAGTTTGGAAGCCATGCATTTGAATATGCACAAAAAAAGTTGAGGTTTTTCTCCAGCACTATGCTTATTCTTGGGTCCTGTGAGTCCTACCAGCAATGATATGTTGAAATCTCACTATTAATAAACCCTTTATGGAATAGATGTTTTGTTGCTGAATGCAGAGTGTGATACAATATGCTGAGAGTCCATTTCTTTAATTTAGTCTCA